GGGATGCCAGGTGCAGCGAGGCGGACGAGGGAGCCGACGGCGAAACCGACTTTACGAAGGTGTTCCACGCAATCGACGTCATCGTGAAGTGCCTCTGCACTGTGGAGCAGTGCCGACCCGCGTCGAAGGACGTCCGCGCTGCAAGGAGGACGGTGCTGGACAGCATCAGGGTCGGCCCCAGCACCCCGATGACGGAGCTGGCAAGGGTCATGAAGTCTTTCGGGCCCCCCCAGGGCGCGATGGAAGCTTCCAGAGTTCACGTCGAGAAAAAATCGAGGACGACAACGCTACGAAGTTCTTTCACCAGGCGGTCGCCAAGTTCGAGGACACCTTCGACCAGGCGTTCAAAGACATCCACGCGTGGAGGGACCTCTTGGCGCGCGAGTGCAACGAGCATGGCAGCTTGGACCATCTCACGAAGCAGTACGCTGGCATGACGACTTTGTTGAATGGTATTTCCCACTCCCTGGCGAAGTGGTCAACGTCTGCATTGCAGGAAAACTTAGCGGAGTTCGGGTCGTCCATGACCAACTGCAAGGTCCTCATCGACATTGTTCTATACATGCACGTCCATGTATTCTACGATAGCTTCGCAATCAACTTCGGCACGTGCGCCACCGACATTGCGACTTTGCTCAGGGCGAGCGAGAAGTTGGCTATCTGTGATTCTAACGGCAGCGTTGACCAGGAGGCGTCGGCTCTTTCGGCTGACGGCATGGACGATTTCAAAATTCACCTGCAGGAGTTTAAGCAGAATGCGAACATCTCCGCTGATAAGCTGGTCGAGCTCAACAGCCGCTGGGTCGCTGTCCTGAGGCAGCTCTTCGAGCGCGCTGGGAAGGCCGTCAGTGATTATTTCGAGGAGTCTGAGATGACGGCTGTCACGTTCGAGGGCTCGAAGACTTCGACGGTCTTCAACATCAGCGACATGACGACGTACATCTCCTACTGCATCGGCGTGGCTTCCGATAGGTTCAAGGGCAGCGAGGTCACGACCGACTCTGCGAAGTTCATCGAGTTTGCTGGCCTCGCAAAGCACCTGTCGGACATTGAGCGTTTCCCGTGGGATGTCAAGAGCGTGGCGACGGTCTCGGAGATCCCGAAGCAGACGATTACCGCGTTCAAGACCTTCGCGGACTGTATAGGCAGGACGGCTGTAATCTTAGGTTCCCCACTGCGATGGCGTAGGCAACCGGGGGAGATGTTAGGGCGCGGGGCGCGGGGGGGCGGGCAGCAGCGGCAACGCAATCGCAAGGAGGGGGGAGGGGGCAGCAACGCAAGGCGAATGGCAGGAGGGCAGGGGGGATAGCTAGCAACATCAACCGACATCAGCGCAACGAGGATGACGATGATGATGATGATGATGATGATGATGATGACGAGGGTTAGGTGCAGGAGGGACGGCGGTGGGGCGTGGGAGGAGCAACGATTCGGAAGGGAAAGGTCGCGAGGTGAGTCCTGGAAGACATGATGAGGGAGGAGGCCGAGAGGAATAGAAGAGGTAGGCGATGCTAAGACGAATGAGCGGAGGGGGAGTGGGCGAGGGAAGGCTGAGGTTCGTCGGATGGGGGAGGGAGGAGGTAGAGGTTGTTCGGCCCCCCGCGCCCCGCCCTCCACAGGCAAGCAGATATACGACGACTGCATGGCAGGATTTGTCTCGAAGCACCTGAATGATTTGGGGCAGAAGCTGGAGTTCACGATCGGCGAGGTCCACGACTCTGTGGTTCAGCAGGCGAATGGCCACGAGCTGTTCAAAATCCTCGTGCGCGGCGTGGCGGACGTGAAGGGCCTCATCCCAGAGTGCATGACGAAGAAGCTGGACAAGGGAGTGACAACGATGCTTTTCACTTCAACGAAGTACAACGCGGCCCTCACCGACCTGAAACTGTTTTTGGAGGCAAGCAGCACGGAGCACTTGAAGGTCGAGGGCATGGTCAAGGTGTCCAACCCTGAGGTGGTCGAGGTTCCAGTTCGTCACGCTACCGCCTACATGTCCATCATGAATGCGATGAGGGACCTCGTCGGGTGCGCTGCGGCCGCGAACAGCATGCTGTTCACAGAGGTTGGCTACGTTGAGGGCGTATCCCACGAGAGCGCTTGCTCTCCGGTAACAATCGTCTTAAAGCTTCTCGCAGATTGCCTCGTGAAGGTCGACGCCCTGCTCCATAACAAGGACGCCTACGCGATTGAGAAGGATGGGTGGACGACTGGCGTCAATCTGAATGCGGCGAGGCAATGGGTTCACTCGATGGGCACATTCAACAAGAACTGCCGTGGGAGGCTCCTCACCATCATGGGTGACTGCATGAAGGCATCTACGACGGCATGCAGCTCGGAGTACGTGGACTGGGCGGCCGCTTTCGACAAGACGGGGAAGCTCAACTTACCGCTGGCGACGAAGCTCTTCTTCAACAAGCTGGATAAGGTGGCGGCTGTCCACATCAAGCTGCGCCAGTACGTCGCCGACGTCAATGCGGCCGCTCACATCTTGGGCATCACGCCGAGGATCCAGGACCTTGAGATCACCGCGTCGACGATCTCTCTGGCCATGGCCTCGCTGGCCACCCGGGGCTCAAAGGGAGGCGTTGAGCACTGGTCGTGCGCGCCGCGTCGGGACCTCATGCAGACGGCATCGTCGATGCTGTTTGGATTGGGCCCCGATGCGTCGCGTCGCGCCTGTGCGACGCGCGCCTCTTTGATGCCGCATCCAGGCGAAGGCGTCCCAGCTGACGGCGGTCATTCGCGGGGTGTCGCTCCTCGGCAGCCTCGCGAACAAGCCGACGGGCCCGTCGGAGGCGCGCGCCTTCACTCTCAAGCACAAGGTGCCTAAGAACAAAGATATCCCTGAGGGTTTCTGGGACGAGCTCGCGGTGGCGGCGCCCCTCTCGGTCTCGGAGAGCGCGGGCGCGGAGGAGGCGCCGCGCGAGGGGATCGCCAAGAGCGCGTCGGGCAGCGGCCTCGGCATCCAGACGCCCGCGAAGAGGGGCGGCGCCGAGGGCTCGGCGGACGGCGGCAGCAGCGCTTCGAAGGCGCAGCTGACGGCGGCGAAGCGCGAGGCGAGCCCGCCGCCGAAGCAGGTCGGGCTCAAGCGCTGTAAGAAGAGTGAGTAGGCAGAGGAGGAGGAGGAGTACAGATAGGAGGATGAGCAACGCTTAGCTTTAACATCGAGTAGGATGAGCAGTGAGTAGGATGAGTAGGACGGGTAGGAGTAAGGACATGGAGTAGGATGAGTAAGAGGAGTTTGACCAGGAACAGGCTGGTTAGGAGGAGTACGGACACATGGGTATGAGTAGAATGACGTCGAGGAGTAGGGTGGTTATGATGATTGCGATGGGGGTGGGAGGGGGGGACTTGCTAGGATCAGTAGGGGAACATATGAATATGATGACCATGAGGGGTCGGCGAGCGAGTGGGGTGACTAGGGTGATCAAGAGTAGGCTTAGGAGTAAGGGGTAGGAGGAGTGGGGGAGGCGGAGTAAGGGGGAGGAGGATGAGGCCTGGCACTTTCTGGTTTCGAGTCGGCCGCGGCAACCGTGCAGGGCTCTGTGATTACGGCGTAATCAACAGGAGGAGCGAAGCGCCCGCGGCGAGAGTATAGTGAAAAATGAGAAAAGGGGCTGAGATGGGGGAGACAGAAGGGGAGGGGGTAAACGCTTTCACCCTTTCCTATGCCCCCCTCCTCGATTTGCCCCCCCCCCCCCCCCCACGCTTTCCCCCACTTCGTCTCCTCCCCCCGTTTACCTCCGCCCTTCATATCCCTCTCCTGTCTCCTTCTGTCCCGCTCTCCCCATCATTCCCTCCTTCTCCCCCTCTCCCTCTCTCCCTCTTTCCCGCTCTCCCCGCCATTCCCTCCTCACCCCCCGCTTCTCCCATCATTCCCTCTCTCCCGATATCCCTCCTTCCCGCGCCGAGATGATATATGATTCACAATGTTGGTCGATTGATGGTTCGATATAGTTTTAGATTGATGAGTCGGCGTGCGAATCGATGCATGTTTCGATCGATGATTCGATAGGTGACCCGATCAGTGATTTCATCGGTGTCAAGCCGATGTATGCTCCAACATTTACCAATGATATTGGATAGCAGATCAAAGTCATATGGGAAAAAACAAAGGAAGTTGAATGCATATGTTAACTCGAGCTGTTAACTCCACCAGTTGAGTGACCAAAGCGAGTTGAACCTACGAGTTGAAGTGATGAAAACGAGTGACCAAACAGAGTGCGAGGGCCGATCGGTGTTGATTTGGCCCCCCCCTACAGTTCTGAGGGAACTCACCGACTCAACAGAAGACCTCTTAGAAGGCGCGAGTGCTTCTGAGAAGTCCCGCCGCCTTCTGAGAAGGCCTTCTCCCTCTCCCACCTCCCCCCCTCGCTCGCCGCTGACGCTCACGCTGGCAGCAGGGGGAGGCAGAGGGGGCCGGCCTCCTCAGGAGGCGGCGGGGCTTCTCCGAGGCCCTCCCGCTTTCCAGGGTCCAGGGCCCGTTTCCCTCAGGGCCCGCTTCCCCCACGCCAAGAACCCAGACATGATCGCGTCGTTAAAAAATCAGGACGGGCGACATTTGGCTATTTTCGGCCCTGGGGGACCCTCGCCGGGTCTCGGGGCCGCCAAAAGACGACTCGGGACGAAAAACCAGTCCCGGTGAGAGGGTCGGGACTTACGGGGACGCCGTCAGGACGTCGCATGTCTGGGGAGACGGTCCGCTCCGGCGTGTCTGGTCCCCCATGCAAAGAAGCCACGGATGGCTTCTCAGAAGGCGTGGGGGGGGGGCTTCGGGAGGCGCCCGGGAAATCGGCTGCGTGAGCTGACCACCACCACCACCACAAGTTAAAGGGGGGAAGGAGGTGGAGGAGGAGGACGGCGAGGAGGAGAAGGAGGAGGAGGAGGTGGAGGAGGAGGACGACGAAGAGGAGGAGGATGAGGAGGATGTGGAGGAGGAGGACGAAGAGGAGGAGGAGGAGGCGGAGGAGGAGGAGGAGGGGGAGGAGGACACCCTCCCCCTCCTACTTCTGGTGGTGGTGTGGGAAAACAAACCCACCATGAGCTGATCCCTCCCCTTCGTCCGGCCCGAAACTAGCCCTGTTTGCCAAAGGGGTGTCGCAGGCCGACTGCGAGGTGGACTTCGGGAGGCGGGGCGTGTCCATATCTCGGGCGTGGCCGGAGGGGGCCCTTGCCCAAGGTGGCCCCCGGGGCTTTCCAGGGAGGCCCGGGTGGCCTCCAGAGCACCCCATCGCGAGGCCCAGGGCACACGGGGGGCTCCACCCTGGCTCCTGATCCGCCGTACTTTGGAGGATTTTCCGACCTAAAATTGTGTCGGAAATCGACGCCAAAGGAGCCTCAAGGGCGGAAATCGACGCTCAAAGGGGCCTCAAAAGTAGGGCGGAAATTTCCGCCCTACTCTCGAAATCGCCCAAAGTAGGGCGGATCAGGAGTCAGGGCGGAAGGCTGGGGACACCTTGGGCCAAGGACGCCTTGAGCGACCCCCGAACGTCGTTCCCCGTGCCGAGCTCCGCGGGCGACACGTACTCGGAGTGCCTGGAGCTGTTCGCGCCAATCGACCCGGCAGCCTGTTCTTACGAGGTCTCGGGCATGAAGGTCGAGGTGAAGCTCGCAAAGAAGGACGTCGGGCTGCACTGGAAGGACCTTGAGATACAGGAGGCGCCCGAGGAGCTGCCAGCCTGCCAGCCCGATCAGCCCGCCTACCCGACGTCCAACAGGGCGAGGCGCGACTGGAGCCAGATCGACCGCGACATCGACGCGGAGCTGAAGGCCGAGAAGCCGGAGGGCGACGAGGCTCTCAGAGGAGGGCGAAAGGAGGCGGCGGCGGAGAGGAGGCCGCTCGGTCGAGGCTCGAGGTCTGCGGGCGCTCGCGTCGGTTCTCGGCTGTCTCCCAGCCTCGGGATGCCTCCCGTCGGCTGCGCCCCCCCTGACTCCTGATCCGCCCTACTTTGGGCGATTTCGAGAGTAGGGCGGAAATTTCCGCCCTACTTTTGAGGCCCCTTTGAGCGTCGATTTCCGCCCTTGAGGCTCCTTTGGCGTCGATTTCCGACACAATTTTAGGTCGGAAAATCATCCAAAGTACGGCGGATCAGGAGCCAGGGCTGCCGGAGAGCCGAGTCATGAGCCGAACCTCGACGGCAGCGCTGGCCTGGCATCGCTCGGGCGTGTGCCTTTTTTCCCTGGCGAGGACCCTTGAGGACCATCCTGGACCATCGAGGAACAAAAACACGCGCGAAACCGAGAAATGCACGGGAGATGGACGTCCGAGCGACAGCAAGATGGCGGCGACGGCGACGATCCGAGGAGGGCGAGTCGAGGCAGCGGTAGTTGGCCTTCAGAGGGGGCCCCTCGTCGCCACGGCTGGGCGCAGCTCGGCAGAGTGGCGCGCCTGGGCCCCTCTCGGAGGGGTCCAGGCACCGGCTCGGAGCCGCCGCCGTCGCCGCTCGCCCTGCCCCGAGGCTCTGAACAGGCTGTTCAAGGAGATCTGCGATCGGGCCGACCCTCCTCCTCCTCCTCCTCCTCCTCCTCCTCCTCCTCCTCTCCTCCCTCCTCCTCCTCCTCGCCGTCCTCCTCGCCGTCCTCCTCCTCTTCCTCCTCCTCCGTCCTCCTCCGTCCTCCTCCTCCCTCCTCCTCCTCCTCCTCCTCCTCCTCCTCCTCCTCCTCCTCCTCCTCCTCGTAAGGAGATCTACGATCGGGCCGACCCCGAGACGCGCCGCGCCATGAACAAGTCCTACCAGACCTCGGGCGGCACGGTGCTCTCCACGAACTGGGGCGAGGCGGGCAGCGCAGGGGCACGGGGCCGCCTTCGCGGGCACTCGCGCGCAAGCGGCCCGCCGCAGGGTCGCGCGGGCCGGCGCCCTCGTTTCCCACGCGGCGCGCCGCGCTGGCGGCCCGCGTGCGGTCGGTTCGGGGAGGGTGCCCTGGTGTTTTCCGTGCTCGTTGGATGTTATTGTGCCTCCTGGGAAGGCGCACCCTTGGATGCTTCTGTCTCTTTTGGCCGACGGAGGGTCTCGTGTCCTTGAGGGGTGTTCCTCTGACCCAGGTCCGCCTAGAGGCCACCGTTTACAGGGAGGCTGGAAACATAAGAGGCGTCCAGGCTCGGTTGTGTTAGTTTTTCCGGGCCTCCCGTTCTATTTATTTTTCGGGCGGCTAGGGAAACCTTGAAAAAGGGTATTCTAGCCCTTCTGTGTTTCCAGCCGCTTATGTTTTTGCCGGTCATGATTCCAGCCTCTTCTGTTTCCAGCCTCCCTGTAGGGTCGCTGTGCCATCTCGCGCAAGGCCCGCCTCTGTCCTCCTCGTGGCCCAGGTCGCGCGCGCCGACTACGAGGGCAAGGACAGGCCGACGCCCCCCGAGGGCCAGGAGTGGGGGCGGTAGGTGCCGCCCCTGCCCCTCCCTCCCGCGGTAGGCGCCGCGGGCTGCGCGGGCTGCGCAGGGTCCGCAGTGATGGGCTTGTTTTCCACCACCACCATTAGTTGGAGGGGGGGGGAAGGAGGAGGAGGAGGAGGAGGAGGAGGAGGAGGAGGAGGAGGAGGAGGAGGAGGACGAGGACGAGGACGAGGAGGAGGAGGAGGAGGAGGAGGAGGAGGAGGAGGAGAAGGACCCCCTCCCCCTCCAACTTCTGGTGGTGGAAAACGGGCCCATCACGCAGAGCTGGCGCGCCGCCGGCGCGGCGCCGCAGGTCGCGGGGGAGAAGGCTGCACCTCGGCCACGCGCAGAGGGCGAGGGGGGGGGGGACGGGGGGGAGGGGGGAGGAGGAGGAGGAGGAGGAGGAGGAGGAGGAGGAGGAGGAGGAGGGGAGATGAGGAGGAGGAGGAGGAGGAGGAAGAAGAAGAGGAGGAGGAGGAGGAGGAGGAGGAGGAGGAGGAGGAGGAGGAGGGGAGGAGGAGAAGAGGAGGGGGAGGAGGAGGAGGAGGGCTTCTTGGCAGCACCCCCTGCCTTCCTGGAAGGCGCGGGCCTCCTCTGCAGATGTGAGGCCGGCGCCTTCCAAGCAGCGGCCTCCCTCCAAGAGGCCCTCCCCCCGTGCCCCTGCCCCCCCTGTGCGCGCCGCCAACAGCATCGGCATGAACTTTCGACGGTCCACGCGGCTCTCTTGGGTCTGCGCTGAACCTCCCCGACGGCGCCTGGGGCGAGGAGGGGGCCCGGCGCAGGTCCAAGTAGTCCGCGCGGACCACCGAGAGTTCACGTGCATGCAGCTTCTTCTTCTTCTCCCCCTCCTCCTCCTCTTCCTCCTCCTCCTCCTCCTCCTCCTCCTCCTCCTCCTCCTCCTCCTCCTCCTCTTGCCTGCCTGCCCCCTCCTCCTCCTCTTGCCTGACCCCCACCCCCGAGAGTCACCACCCACCAAATCAGTCCAACCCAACCTGAAGGCTTCAATCTGCCCTCCATTTCCAGTGGGGGGGGGTCGGGGCACATTGAACAAGCACATATGGATGGAACCCGTACCCCCCCCCCCAACCCGAAATTCGGGTCTTCGGGTTGGGTGGGGGTGGTCTGGTAGGTAGTCAGAGCAGTTGCAGCCAGACGGCCGGCTCCTCTCTGCGTGCGCCGCGCGAAAGAAAGCGCCTCGCCCGCGGCGGGCGACAAGGGGCGCGCCTCGATCTCGGTGCTGCCGAGCGTCGTCTCGGCTCCGGGCGGTCTGGGCTCCAGGCCTGCCCCCGGGGCCTACCCCCAGAGACCTGCCCGAGGGCCTACGTCTAGGCCTACCCTGGGGCCTGCCTACCCCAAGGCCTACCCCGAGGCCTACCCCAAGGCCTGCCCCAGAGCACCATCTCGAAGGTGGGGGTTCATGCAGGGCTGCGCGACCTGCCTCTCCGCGACCGGACGGGCAAGCCAAGGGAGGAAAAAACACCCGGACCGGACGCTTGGCGTTCACGAAACGGGCTTGGGCGTTACGGCCGTTACGGCCTTGGGCGTTTACTAGAAACAGCCCTGCCCTGTTCGATTCCTTCAGTGGGGGCGTCTTTAGTGAACGGCTTCGCGTGTCGGGGCGGCTATTATGGGGTTGGATTTTTTGCCCTCCCGAGGCCTACCCCAAGGCCTACCCCAGGGCACCATCTCCAGGTGGGCCTTCATGTAGGCCTGCCCAGACACGCGACGTCGTGATTTTTCCAGGACGGCGTCCCCGGAAGTCCGGACCCTTTCTCCGGGGCCGCTTTTTCGTCCCGGGCCGTTTTCCGACGGTCCCGAGGCCCGGCGAGGGCCCCCGGGGGCCGAAACTATCGAAAAACCTCCCACCCGGATTTTTGTCACGACGCCCTCCTGCTGTCAGGGTGCGCGGCTCCCTGACTCCGGATCCGCCCTACTTTGGGGAAATTCGTAAGTAGGGCTTGGAATTTCCGCCTTACTTTTCAAGCCCCGCTGATGCCAATTTCCGCCCTACTTTTCTGCTGCTGTTTCCGCCCTACTTCTGTGGATCTCCGCCCTACTTCATGCTGGGTGCAGGAAGTTCCGCCCTACTTTTTCGGCCTCTTATAGGTGGATTTCCGACGCAATTTTAAGCTGGAGAAAAAGCCAAAGTAGGGCGGATCTGGAGTCAGGGTCCAGACCTCTGGGGGTCGACGTAGTGCAGAAAGCACGACGTCGGGGGTCTGGGCCTCGCCCCAGGCCGGTCGCCTCACGCGTAGCCATCTCCCCGGAGGGGCGGAGCGCCGACGGGGGCACAGCAGGGTGCGCGTCCCGCGTCCGTGCACCGCGCGCGCAGGTGCCTCGGGCGTCTGGGCGAGGCGCCCTTGAGACGCGGATGGGCGCGGTCAAGGGTGGGAGGGGGGAGGAGGCAGGAAGTAAAGGGGGAGGAGGCAGGCAGCAAGAGGAGGCAGGAAGCAAGGAGTCAGGGCTGCCTCTCCGCGGCCGGGCGGGCAGGGGCAGAGCCGCGCCGCGCCGCGCGCAGGGCGCGCCGGGGGCGGGGCCCCTCGCCTTGCGCGCGGGGGGGGGCGGGCGGGCAAGGTCGAGCCGGCGGCGGGGCCGCCAGCGGGAGCCCGGCGGGCGGGGTGCAGAGGCGAGCAGCGTCGACGGCGAGGAGGACGAAGACCAAGACCAAGACCAAGACCAAGACCACGACCACGACCAAGACCACGACGAAGACCAAGACCAAGACCAAGACCACGACCACGACCACGACCACGACCACGACCACGGCCACGACCACGACCACGACCACGGCCACGACCACGACGGCTCGGCGCAGAAGAAGCCCAGACCCGAATCACACGGCGAGGACGTGGCCTCGCCGAGGTCCCCGTCTCTGCATCACGATGCAGGGATGACAGATCTGGGCGGTTAGGTTCGATGCATCTGCAGCAAAAGGACCCCCTGTCCCTAATGTACCTGGCCTTCCTAACTTAGATCCCCTCCCAAAATATTCGGGGCCATTTTTGGGTCAATCAACATCTGAAACGTCATCCTTGTTGGATCCAGGGGGTCCTGGGATCGACCGTGGATCACACGTGGGCAGGGCCACGCGCACGAGGTGCGTTGCCAGGCTACCTCTTGTGGGCGCCACCACGCTGCCAAGCACACAAGTAGTATGATGTGACGCTTGCAATTTACATGCGCGTAACAATGCCGATGGACACTTCTATATACAAGCATTTACACATATGCATACATTCGCATACACATATACCTACACGTTTAAACATACACATACGCATATATGTGTATCTACACGCGCAGTATTCATAGATAAACAAGACTGCATTGGCGCTTGGCGCCATGCGCCTTGGTCCTTGAGGCTTTGCTTATGCTGGTCGTTCGCGCCATCCCTAGTGGCCTTGGAATGGAATTGGCCCCTTCCCTGCGGTGATTTTCGGAAGTCTTCGAAAGTTCGGGCGGTCCGTGGCTCTTCCCGGGCCTCCGGGGGCTCCCGAAAGGCGCCAGGTGGAGGGCGAAGGATAGGAGGGAGGGAATCTCGGGGAGCGAGGCGAGGGAAGCGGATGTGGGGGAGAACGAGTGGTGGAGCGGCAGAGAGGAGGAGGAGGAGGAAGGGGAGGAGGAGGAGGAGGAGGAGGAGGAGGAGGAGGAGGAGGAGGAGGAGGACCTAGAGGAGGAGCAGGAGGAGGGAAAGAGATGGCTCCGTCGAGGGGCGGCGAAGAACTTTTGTTGCGCCGCACCGAGGAGCGCTGTCCAGAAGCCAACGGCTTCGGTTTCACGTGTGCGTACACGCTTGCAGATATGGTGTACGTACACGCTTGCAGACATGTTCGGCAGTGGATGATGACGAAAGACCTTCGTAGGCCCGCAGATTGCCCGCTCGTGGCTCAGGTGCCCCGGTGCGCAACGCGAAGGAATGGCAAGCCACGCGGATGAATGCCCAGCAAGTCGACGCAATGTCAAGCAATGCCGCAAAAGAAAAAACAATGCCAAGCCAAGGATGTCGTGCTACAGCGGGTCGCAAGGGGGCACGCGGAAGTAAGTATTTTTTGGGGAATGCACAGAATCTTGGGTTCGCAACAGATATTCGTGAAATGTGGTTGCGAACTTGGGATCGGCTCAGTTTGGTGGAAAACGCCGCGTGGGCCTTGTTTGAGCCCTGGTGGCCCTCTAGGTACCTTACGGAAGCTACGTGGGCCCTCCTGGTAGCCTTCCATGGCCTTTGCGAAAGACTCCCATGACCTTCTTGGAGCGTATTGGGCTTGTCCTTGGGGCTTTGTGAGGGCCTGTTGGGTTCTTTGTGGCTCATTTGGGGCTTCCCTGGGCAGTCTCGGGGCCATCTAGGCCGTCTAGAGGCTCTTTTGGGGGTCTCTTGGGTTGCGTTGGGGCGACACCGGAGGGTTTTTTGGTTGTTTTGGGCGCTGCTAAGACCCGAACAACGAACATGCTGAACATGTACGTTTTGTCGAAAAGGAATGTTTAGCGATTTTTGCGTTCCGGGGGTCCTGTTCAAGGCCTCCTGGGTCGTCTTGGGGGCCTCCGGAGGCCATCTGGGTCCTTCTTGAAGCGCTCTTGTGCTGTCTTGGGTCTTTCTTCGGCCTCTTGGATCACCGCTCTGATCGCCTGGCGGGGCCCCCCCCTCCCCCGGCTCGCAAACATGTAGGAAGAGGAACGTGTTTGTGTGTATATGTATGTATGTATATATATATATACATATATATATATATATATATATATATATATATATATTCTCGTACGCACCTCTCCGAGGGAGTAGAGCTCAGAGCCGATTGATTGAAGGCGGCGTTAGCGATTTTTCTGGCCGTTTCGCTAGGGACATCCTCGAAATTCTGAAAATCGGTGGCACCCCTCACGCAGATCGTGACGTCAGGGTCCAAAAACACATGGGAATGTCAACAGTCTAACATACAACCTTCAAAAACACATGGTAATTTCAATGATTCTGACCCCGATTCTCAGAGAATGGCGATTTCGCCTGAGACATCCTCCCAACATCGAGCCCCGACGTACCTTCTGGTACCCCAGACCCCGCCTCGGAGCCTCTTGGGAGCCTCCTGGAACCTCCTGGGGCCTCCTGGGGCTTTATGTACCTTCTGGTGCCCCAGACCCCGCCTCGGAGCCTCCTGTGGGTCTCCTGGAACCTCCTGGGGCCTCCTGCGGCCTCCTGAAGCCTCTTGGGGCCTCCTGGAGCCTCCTGGGGTCTTCTGGGGCCTCCTGAGGCCGCCTGGGGCCTCCTGGGGCCTCCTGGGGCCTCAGAACTACATGCACACACAGAGACACAAATCACACCCAGCACATCACACGCTAGACAAACGTAACACACACAACACCTACAACGCATAGAAAACACGCACAACACAGTGCACACATCACACACACACAACACTCACAATCCCGGGGCCTCCTGGAGCCTCTTCCGGTATCCAAGTCGGGCCTCCTGAGGTTTCCTGGGGGGGGCCCTGGTACACACATCGCAAGGTGTGGCAACCCCACTTGCGCTCGAGTGCGACCTCGACCTTAGATTCTTCTGCGTTCACCTCCTGCCTCTTCCCCTTCTCATAGGCACGCCCTGGCGGCGCCGCCCCAGCTTCCCCTTCTCCATCTCCGATCCTGCAGTCATGGTGTCTTCCTGCTTCAAACGCCCTTTCAGTTTTTTGTTGTATGAGCCTGGGTACACACGTGCCACTTGTATATGTGCGTGTGCATACATGACTACATAGATACATAGATCAACGCATGTATGTAAATACGTGTACGCGTACACAATACATACGTCTACCCATACAGAAGCATACACATATCTATACATGTATATGTCTATATAAATAGGTATTTATACACAAACATACATATATGCATACATACATATAGACATACACACATACATACCTACATACAAACATACATGCATACATATACATACATACATACATACATACATGCATACATACATGCATGCATGCATGCATGCATGCATCCATACATACATACAGACATACATACGTACACACATGCATACATACATACATACATACATACAGACAGACAGACAGACAGACAGACAGACAGACAGACAGACAGACAGACTGTCAGACATACGTACATACACACATACACACATACATGCATGCATGCATTCATGCATACATACATACATACATACATACCTATACACATGTATGCATGCATGCATGCATGCATGCATGCATACATACATACATACACATACATACATACATACATTATACATACAAGCGTATGTACATACATGTATACATATATACATACATACACATACACATATAGCTACATACTCGGGGGCCGATGGCCAGAACCTCGACCGCAAATGTGGGTCCCCGGGCCCGGGCCCGCCTCTGGGAGGCCTAAAATCGTCCCGGGGAGCCCTCAGACAGCAATCCCGGCGGCCCCAGACGGTTTCGAGACACCTCCAAGACGCCGTCCAGGGGTCTCAGGCGACGCACGATGCGTT